ACTAAAGTTTTGAAGTAAAACAGTGAAGTATTTAGAGGAATTGGAGTTCAATTTTTCTAAAGCAGTTTCTCTTCTGTGTGTATATAAGCAAAACATAGTACCTGTCGAGATGTTCTGATTTGTTTAAACCATCATATATTTGCTTGCAGGTCTTACAAAAGGCTTTGGAGGTATGGGATCTCCAAGTCATTCCTCTCAACTCACCAGTTGCTGAACCTGCACAGATCGACCCTGAACTGGAGAATGCATTTATATGTCATTTGCAAGACCATTGGTTCTGTATTAGGAAAGTGAATGGGGAGTGGTACAATTTTGATAGTCTATACGCAGCTCCACAGCATCTTTCTAAGTTTTACCTTTCAGCCTACTTGGACTCTCTAAAGGGCTTTGGTTGGAGCATTTTTCTTGTGAGGGGTAACTTCCCGAAGGATTTTCCCATCTCATCCTCCGAAGCATCTAATGGTTACGGTCAGTGGCTTTCCCCTGAGGATGCTGAGAGGATAACCAAATCCTGCAACTCTACACAAGCTCCACCACAAAGAATAAACTGGACGGAGCAGCAAGATACATTTCTTTCATCCGGAGAAGCAGAAATGCTTATGGACATGGAAGATGAGGAGTTGAAGGCTGCAATAGCTGCTAGCCTTATGGATTCCTCAGCAGGAGCTGCCAACTCCCAAAATGAACCTGCAGCTTCCACCCAACAAGCTGCCTCCCCCCAGAACATACCTGTTGTTTCCCTTGAACCTGCCAACTCCCAAGATGTACCTGCAGTTTCCCCAAAAGCTGCCATCCCCCAAGATGTACCTGCAGATCCCACCAAATCTGCCTCCCCCAAAAACGACATACCTGTTGTTTCCCCTGAAGCTGCCACCTCCCAGGATGTAAATGCAGTTTCCCCTGATGTTGCCACCACCCAAGATGTTGGGGCAGTTTCCCCTGATGTTGCCACCACCCAAGATGTTGGGGCAGTTTCCCCTGATGTTGCCACCACCCAAGATGTTGGGGCAGTTTCAACCAAAGCTGCCATTTCCAGTAATGAACCTGCAGTCTCCACCCAAGTTGCCGCCCATCAAAACGAATCTGGGGTCAGTCAAGATGCTGCCTTTCTTGAAAGTGTAGCTGCAGATGCTGCAGAATGTGCTGTTTCCAGCCCTCGAAAGAAAATCAGTCGTACTACGAATTAGAAAAGTGCGTGAGGAAGAGTATTTTTGTGCCTGCTATTTGATTATTGGTTGAAGAATGATGTACGGGATTGGCACGTTAACCATAGAAGAGAGTGCAGGAGAGAAGAGAAGAGGGAACCCCGATCCTTGTTGAGGTTTAGCTAGTCGATGTCGAATCCATATGCTTTTTTACAGTCGTTCTGTGCAGTGTAACTATTTTTACTTTACTTTTTCAATTTTCAGATTGATACTGTATAAACTTTCAGAAATAAGCCGTCTGGCTCGGCCTCTGGATTGTCACAAATGTTCGATTAATGAGATGCATTTGTCTTAGCAATTATTTCCAAGGATCTAATTAACAACTTTAACTTTAATTTACTTTGTGTTCCAGATTGACACTGAACGATCCCCTTCATTCCTTTAGGCAAGTTCAAAAAATCTGATGATCTGAATTCATTTGGGTTGGTTGGGTTAAACATAAATAGATTTCAACATAACTCGTTTAAAATATTTTGTGATTAGGTTAGGTTGAGTCTATCATTCAACTAAAATAAATTGAATTTAATAAATTTGCGGTCCAAATAATTAGGTTGCATCAAAAAAGTTCCTTGGGTTAGCTCATGAGATGACTGCAAGAATTTTTGCAAACTCGAAATTTGTTAATGGACTGCTGTTTTATGAAAGGTAAATTCTTATGGGGTCCAGCCAAAATAAGAAAAAAGTTTAATCTTTTAATGTCCATGTGCAATAATTTAATTTATCAGAGGCCAATACAAAGAGTAACCTTTTATGACAAAAGAAATGAAAAATAAAGAAATGGAAGAGTACCCTCTCCCCCCGTCCTCTCTAACCAGTAACCAGTAAAAAAAAGAAAGAAAAGGAAATCAATTTCAATACCAATTCTAATGGGCAATGAAGGAGGAGGAGAAGACTAAAAAGGAATGAGGGGAATGACACTTTTGACCTGGCAGGTGGCCCAAGCACCAATTCTTACCATTGCAACTAGTCTTCTGTTAGGACTCGAGGAAACGAAAAAGGTAACAGAGGGTGGACAACAAAAAAAGCTAAGCACAACCCCTGTTTTCCCTTTTCTCTTGGCTGGCTGCTTCAGAATCAGAGCTCTCTGTTTTTGTTTGTGTTTCTTTAGGGTATTTTGAAAGCTCAACTGGAATCGAGATCCTCCCTTTACAGTTCTTTTGATGGGTTCCTCGAATCGTTTATTTAGTAGGCAGCGAACTCTTCATGAAATTATTGGCGGAGGTCTTGGTATGTCAAGATCTTCTCATTTCTGGGTTTGTTTTATTGTTCTTCTTCATGGATCCTCTTTTGATTTCTATCCGATTACTCTGTTTCAGTCCTCTTTTGACTGCGGTATTGAATTGCGAAGCATCGATGAACCATTTTATTCTGTTTTCCATTGCTAATGCGGTGTATTCTTGAATTGCTGGAAGTTTTATGTGGGTTCTGAAATTTACTGATGCCATTAGAGTTCTAGGATACTTGCGCCTAAAAGTTAATTAAGATTGCGTTTATGATCCAATAAGTATTTTAGGATTGGGTTTAACTGTTAGTTTTCAATCTGATGATCAGTTGCAGATGTAATACTATGGAGGCGAAAGAATCTGACTGTGGGGATACTGTTACTAATGCTGGCAACTTGGCTGGTGTTTGAGAGATGTGGTTACACCTTGTTGTCTTTAATTTCCAGCGTTCTACTTCTTCTTGTTACCATTCTCTTTCTCTGGGCCAAATCTGCCTCCATTCTCAATAGGTAACGAATCAGAGATTGCCTCATGACTTGCCTGTTATAAACCATCTCTTCAACTTGAATATCACTGAAGAATGATAAACTGATATATAAGTTTGAGAATGCATGATCTTTTAATGGATGGAGGCATTTCTCTTGTGAAATTGACCATATTCTTGATTGATTATGATCCCCTAGTTCCAATTCTCTAGTTTCTAAACAACATGATTTGTAAATGTGTCCTCAATTTCTTTTACATTTGATTAACCTTTCTGGGATGTATACTTATATGTATTTCATGTCAATGTGCACTTAGAGTTCCAATCGCTTAGTGTTTTGTTGTTTTAGATATAAGAGATATGTAAATGCATTTGGGAAAGATGATGGACATCTGTGGCACTATATGGTGATGTATCAATATTGTTTGCGAATCTGCACATGTTTTTCCAAGCCAAACAAGCTAGAGATGCAACTGTTCAGTAGTTTTCAAGCATTCTAAAATTACCGATGCATAATATAGTATGCTCGACTGCTGTCTCCTGAGTTCTGAACTTTGCTGCATTTTGGAAGTAGAAACTATCGATCTTTTGACATTCTCAATTTTCTCATTGTATCGATACCAAGCTTTGTTATTTCCTGGTTAATTAAGTGTAGCTTCACTTTTATGTACTTGGAACAAGATTAGCTTCTGAATGTGCTACCTTTCCTTTGAACAGACCAGCACCACCTCTTCCCGAGTTACATCTCTCAGAAGATATGGTAAATGAAGCTGCAACTTTTATTCGTTCGCGTGTGAATACTCTGCTGTCTGTTTCCCAAGATATAGCCATGGGTAAAGACCCCAGATTATTCTTCAAAGTAGCTGCTTGCCTGTGGCTGATTTCATTTATCAGTGGCTTGACTGATCTTCTCACCTTGGGTTACACTAGTAAGTTCGAATCTTCAGTTTACTTGTCACTAGTTTGGTAATTCTTTCTGTAATGCTCAAACAGAGATAAAAAATGGGGCGATGATCGATTTCATGGTCGTTATTTTCCCAATGACAGGCCTTTTCCTTGTGCTTACGATTCCCGCGCTGTATGAGAAGTATGAAGATTATGTAGATAGGCATGTCATATTGATCTACAGAAGATTGCATCAATTCTATGTGAAATTGGACGAGAAGCGTGTTCTCACGTACCAACAATGGATTTTGGAGAAAGAAAAACTGAGCTGATCAGTGATCTCTCTTGTTGATGGCTGGCTCTCTCGCTCTTTCTTCTGGTTTCTTTTTGAATGTTTTATGGTGTTCTTTCAACCCCAAGGGTGGAGTTGACAGAAGCGTGGGGGATGATTGTATTTTGTTCATAACTTTGTTTTCAAATTCTCTAATTCCTGCTAGAGAAATGTATTTAGAAACGGCATGTTACGAATTTTGAATTAATTTTTCATTAGTGGGTGATTGGGGGTTGACAGGCAAGTTGATCATATATTTATATATACTATACAGCCAAAGCAGCAGCTATAATTGATGTTTCCTTAGCCTTACCATCAATGTCATATGTGATGGTAAATACAATTATATGTTCAATTCCTAATGTATTAATTGCAACACTTCATTATAATCATGTGACCTGTCCAACAAGCAATTGTCTGCATAATGTTGAAAAAGAAATTGTCAGAACTGATAAACAATAGGATGTTTTTACTAACAACTTTTCAGAACTCCTTTAATGATGACACTCTTATCTACTGTCAGTATTGCATATAATATTGATGATCTCGGACTTCTCAAATGACAGTACTTTTAAGCAAAGTTCTCTGGAAGGGCAAAACTTTACGATTGGGCATCAAGTTGAAATATACAGACATTCTCACGATGATGCGCAAAATATGATCAAAACAATGATTGGAAGGAAACAAAGAATGAAAAATCATCAGTCTTGGCCGCTTCCAAAGCTATCACGGCTGTGGCTGTCATTCTGCCATGGGAGGCCTTGCCCATCATGATCCATATCTCCTGAATAGAACTTGCCCCGCTTGTGTTGCGACAAGTAAGGTGGCGGTGGGGGAGGCGGAGGCAGAGGCAATTGCATTGTAGGCTGTGGTGCCAATATACCTTTACCCTCCCTGAAGTCCATGGCAGTACCCGCATGTCCCAGATCCATGCCCTTGTTGGCCATAGAAGAGACGGATGAATTCACAGGCAAACCTCCAGGACTGCGTCTGTAATCTCCTTGGTAAAATCCATGTTTTCCTTGGGAATCAGGGGTGTTAGAAAAAGAATCCGGCATTCCTTGACTCCCAGCAGCATGGTCATAAGGAGCGCCCGCTTGTCCAGTATTCCAAGACTGCGGATAAGTTGCTGAGAAATTCATTCCTCCTGCCGCACCGGGTGGAAAGCCTAGCAATGACCCTTGTTCAGATCCAGAATCTACTGCAGCATCTTGCCGTGACACTTCATAGGGTGTGCTGTAATATTGTTGTGCTCCCTCAATTGGAAAAGGAGGATAACCAAATGGTAGAGGGGGAGTCAACATTGGATTTGAATTGGTTGGAACCACATAATTTGGTGGCGGGATTGGTTGCAGAGGAGGATACTGAGAAAATGGAGTGTCGGTTAGAATTCCTTGCTGTTTGTCTGAAAACTGATTGGATTCCTGATGTGGACCACCCTGTAAGTCAAAGTTTTGTGGGGGGAAACGGCCATGAGGTCCATGCCGATCAAAGCCTTGTGAATGACCGCTGTCTGGTTGAGATTCAGATGGATTGTTTTGGTTCTGACCAAAATTTGGTGCTTGCTTTTGCTGCATGCCAGACCTAGGTTGGTCTCTGGATTGTTGACGATGAAATTTTTCTTCACGTTCTTGGAGCTGGGAATTGGAACCTGGAGATATGATTGGTCTCGACGGACCTCGGGCAGTGGACTCAGAAGCTGTAGATTGTTTCGCACTATGAGCCTCAATTTCATTTCCATCTTCCTTATCTGCATTTGGCTTAAGAAGGTCGGCATGGCTCTCATGTATATGAGATTCAAATTCAGTCCTCTTAAGAAAAGACTTGAGACAGTGTGGGGCTGCACAAATGAAGATCCCCTCCATCAATTTTATAGTTTGAATCTTCTGGATACGGTCATCACAACTGTGACACAAAAATCATTTACCGTGTCACAATTTCTATTCATCTTCGTAACATTATAATAATGTACACAAAAATAAATTTCTGCAAGAATTTCAATCATACGAGAGTTGAATGTTTTCCTGTGCCAAATCTATTGCTGATGTGTTATAATATCTCTGTTTCAATCATTGAAGTGCCACAACGGATGACTTCGAATATACTATGGGATTCTATGTTAATCAAATTTCACCTCAAACAATTGTATGCCTAAAGGAAATCTTGCTCGAGACTTGAATTCATACTACATAGACTGATCTTCATTTCTGGTGCTTCAATTTCTCACTCCATAAATTATCTTAGTAAGACACAAAAGGAAAAAACAGAGCACCGCTATCATTAGAAAACCCTGTAGTATACTTTACTAACTAATCGGCAAAGAAAACAGCTGATATTTGAAGAACATCAGACCAGAAACATTTTGGCAAAAGAAAATGAAAAATGTACCAAATACAGGCAAATAATTTGGACATTCATAACATAAAAGAATCTTAATGATCTCACCAAGACATTCAAAGTATTTTTACTTACAGGTAGCATATGGAATCACTCCTTGCACAATCGAGACAGAAGGCATGCTCACAAGGGCTCTGCAAGAGAGGGAAACCACTTTTTAGCTCTTAAGAAGTATGTCACAGGCCTATATTCTAGCGAGCAATAAGGGCATTGCAAATATGAAATAACCTCATCTTGTTGACCTAGCTCCTCCATTTTATTTCTTGCACAACTCCCTAGTACATATTGGCAGTAACCAGTATTCATAGATTTTATAAAAGCAATGCAAACCGATTCGACAAAAGGGTTGAAATTGAAAATCGTCTTCTATATATGAAAGATTTCCATCCAGGGACAAAAAGTAGACAAGGGAACTAGCAACAAGAACAAAAGGTTAGTGAAGAAAAATACCAGGCGACCATAAATAGCGATTGGGAAATCGCATCTCACACAAAAATGAACTCGTTCTCCAAGCTGACGGCGAGACCTGCGACCCACAGACTTGACAATCGAAGCAGCAGTAGCCGCACCAATGCCCTTTGCTACAGGAAGATCAGCAAGAACAAGGTGGTCAGGGCATGCGACCGTCACAGTCTCCGCCGGCAAGGGCTTCACTGCTCCAGCACCACCTTCAGCCTGTGGAACTTTGCTAAGCCGGATCTGCAGCATATTTCTCCCTTGAAGAATCCCCCTCCACCACTTCTCCCAAACAAGAACGAAACTAGTCGTATTCCTCTCCAGAAAACCAATCTAAAAAACCAAATTGGAACGACAATTCGTCAATAATGCAAATAAAACCCAAAAAGGGCAATCTTCGTCCTTCATACCAAACTCCATTCTCCAACCAAAAGAGAGAAACATCTATATACAAACCAAAGACGTACATAAAGCAGTGCGAAAATTGAAAACAAACTCCCGAATCATCCCACTTCCGGGAGGCAAAATTCTAAAACTGAAAACGAATTAAAATGTTGCCCATAAAACCCTAATTGACTGGGGGCATTTATTCACCGGAATCTAAGAAATTCAGCATTCCAGCAAGGAACTTACCGGCGAAGAAAACACAATCGGTTTCGCTTACTCGGCGCAGTCCCCGTTCGTCTTTCGCTTTTTTGTTCCCAAGTGTAAGAAGGGCTCCGATATATCAGTGACCGAGAACGATCGTCGCTCCACTTTCTGGCGCCACTAAACGTAAGTACGACATGTCGCTCTGAGAGGCCCGAACGAAGAGAGAAAAAGAAAGGAAAAAAAAAAAAGAAAGAAAGAAATCCGACCTGCCGGATTCGAACCAGCGACCTAAGGAT